GTAATTGATTTTGAAACATCAATTGGTATGCCCAACATGTCATGAACAGACTCTGCTGTTACTTTCAGTTCCTTTCCTTCAATATCTATCACCATTCTCTCAGAATTAAATTTTTGAAGAACATAAAATCCCAGCTTTAGTGGTATATCTGTGATTTTCATTTTTAACAAGCTCCAAAACCCACAGATCTTACAAATTCCTTTTGTTCTTTGCTCATCCCAATGATTATAGATAGTAATGCCTCTGGTGAACATCTGTTTTTCATTGAGTAAAATTCTTTTACCATTGGTTTTTTTTTTGTCTTTTTTGATTGGTGACTCCTTTTTTTTTGCCTTCTTCGATGGATGACTACTTTCAAAATCAGAGTCTGAATCTTGTAGTTGTTGTTTTCAGGAGTTTTCCTATTTGATGGACTTTTTCTGCTTTGATGCTTTATTTTCTTTGGTACTTTTGTTTCTTTTTATCTGGGAAATGAAAACATATAATATTTGAATAAGTTACTGATATATGAATATGATATATGCTCGTTGATTTAATACTATTTATTTATTACAAAAATATAACTAATATATACAATTTTATTCATATATGAATATATTAGATATGATAGGAATTTTGTACCTTTCACATTTTTCCTCTTCAAATCTGTTTCTATCATAGTTGTGGAGTCTTTATCAAAAATACAAATCTTCTTACCTTCATGAAAGAGTGAGTAGAAGATAAATAATTTTGAAATACATTTTACAAAGAAAATATATTATATTCATAATAAATATAGAATATTCATTTATAAGATATGATATGTATTTTATACCTTTTTGATTTTTCTGCATTGATCTTGTTTCTCTCATTGTTGGTGAATCTTTATCGGAAATGTTAGTGTTCTTACCTTCATTCAATAGTAAGTAGAAGATAAATGAGTTTGATATTCACGAATGAATATTTGAATAAAACATATGTATTCATATTTTTTTATTCTCATATGAATATGTTTTGTTATATTCATATGTGAATAGAACATATATAAGTCATTCTTGTTGTATTCACATTTGAATAATGTATGTATGGCAGCAAGTTATGTTCTATTCATATGTGAATATAACATACATATTCACGAATGAATATTTGAATAAAACATATGTATTCATATTTTTTTATTCTCATATGAATATGTTTTGTTATATTGACATTTGAATAATGTATATGGTAGCAAGTTATGTTCTACTCATATGTGAATATAACATACATATTCACGAATGAATATTTGAATAAAACATATGTATTCATATTTTTTATTCTCATATGAATATGTTTTGTTATATTCATATGTGAATAGAACATATATCAGTCATTCTTGTTGTATTCACATTTGAATAATGTATGTATGGCAGCAAGTTATGTTCTATTCATATATGAATATAACATACATATTCACGAATGAATATTTGAATAACACATATGTATTCATATTTTTTTATTATCATATTAATATGTTTTGTTATATTCATATGTGAGTAGAACATATATAAGTCATTCTTGTTGTATTCACATTTGAATAATGTATGTATGGCAGCAAGTTATGTTCTATTCATATGTGAATATAACATACATATTCACAAATGAATATTTGAATAAAACATATGTATTCATATTTTTTTTATTCTCATATGAATATGTTTTGTTATATTCACATTTGAATAATGTATGTATGGCATCAAGTCATGTTCTATTCATATATGAATATAACATACATATTCACGAATGAATATTTGACTAAAACATATGTATTCATATTTTTTTTATTCTCATATGAATATGTTTTGTTATATTCATATGTGAATAGAACATATATAAGTCATTTTGTTGTATTCACATTTGAATAATGTATGTATGGCAGCAGTTATGTTATATTCATATGTGAATATAACATACATATTCACGAATGAATATTTGAATAAAACATATGTATTCATATTTTTTTTTCTCATATGAATATGTTTTGTTATATTCATATATGAATGAACATATATAAGTCATTCTTGTTGTATTCATATTTGAATAATGTATGTATGGCAGCAAGTTATGTTATATTCACATGTGAATATAACATACATATTCACGAATGAATATTTGAATAAAACATATGTATTCATATTTTTTTATTCTCATATGAATATGTTTTGTTATATTCATATGTGAATAGAACATATATAAGTCATTATTGTTGTATTCATATTTAAATAATGTATGTATGACAACAAGTTATGTTCTATTCATATGTGAATATAACATAGATATTCACGAATGAATATTAGTTTCGCTTGTGTTCAGAAGTAAACAAAACATATTTTATTTACCTTTTTGATTTGCTCTTGTTTTTCGTTTATATGTTTTCTTCACTGTTGGTGTTGTTTCTGTAAGGGTAAGTAGTTAATATTAGGAAAACATAAGCGAAATGTGAAGTAACGTTTGTATTTTGACATAATAGTTTTGAATAAAGATGAAAAATGAAGAGATGATGTAAAATCATTTATATATCAACTAATAATGGATGATTCTTACAAAAATTTCAAGTAAATAAAGTAATAACGAAGGAGGGTTACGAGAATGAACGAGTATCATAAAAAATTGAAGTAAACTACCTTTTTTGAAGAATGAACAGTGTGAAAACAATGTTTTTAGTTCTAAATCAACTAATAATTATCGAAGATTACGAGAAATTTCAAGTAATCAAGTGATAATTTAGAAATGATTCGAAATCGTTAAAAACTCGAGAAAAAACGCCGATGGTTACCTTTCATTGTCAAGAGTAAGGAAATGGTCTCGTTCTTGTTTTCATCGGAATACATTTTTCTTCGTTTATGTTATTTGATGCTTCTGCAAATGGTTTTCTTCTTATCGATTCTTCTGCAAATGGTTTTCGTGTTATGGTATACCTTTTTGATTTTTCTGCATTGATCTTGTTTCTCTCATTGTTGGTGAATCTTTATCGGAAATGTTAGTGTTCTTACCTTCATTCAATAGTAAGTAGAAGATAAATGAGTTTGATATTCACGAATGAATATTTGAATAAAACATATGTATTCATATTTTTTTATTCTCATATGAATATGTTTTGTTATATTCATATGTGAATAGAACATATATAAGTCATTCTTGTTGTATTCACATTTGAATAATGTATGTATGGCAGCAAGTTATGTTCTATTCATATGTGAATATAACATACATATTCACGAATGAATATTTGAATAAACATATGTATTCATATTTTTTTATTCTCATATGAATATGTTTTGTTATATTGACATTTGAATAATGTATATAGCAGCAAGTTATGTTCTATTCATATGTGAATATAAACATATATTCACGAATGAATATTTGAATAAAACATATGTATTCATATTTTTTTATTCTTATATGAATATGTTTTGTTATATTCATATGTGAATAGAACATATATCAGTCATTCTTGTTGTATTCACATTTGAATAATGTATGTATGGCAGCAAGTTATGTTCTATTCATATATGAATATAACATACATATTCACGAATGAATATTTGAATAAAACATATGTATTCATATTTTTTTATTATCATATGAATATGTTTTGTTATATTCATATGTGAGTAGAACATATATAAGTCATTCTTGTTGTATTCACATTTAAATAATGTATGTATGGCAGCAAGTTATGTTCTATTCATATGTGAATATAACATACATATTCACGAATGAATATTTGAATAAAACATATGTATTCATATTTTTTTTATTCTCATATGAATATGTTTTGTTATATTAACATTTGAATAATGTATGTATGGCAGCAAGTCATGTTCTATTCATATATGAATATAACATACATATTCACGAATGAATATTTGACTAAAACATATGTATTCATATTTTTTTATTCTCATATGAATATGTTTTGTTATATTCATATATGAATAGAACATATATAAGTCATTTTTGTTGTATTCACATTTGAATAATGTATGTATGGCAGCAAGTTATGTTATATTCATATGTGAATATAACATACATATTCACGAATGAATATTTGAATAAAAATATGTATTCATATTTTTTTATTCTCATATGAATATGTTTTGTTATATTCATATATGAATAGAACATATATAAGTCATTCTTGTTGTATTCATATTTGAATAATGTATGTATGGCAGCAAGTTATGTTATATTCACATGTGAATATAACATACATATTCAGGAATGAATATTTGAATAAAACATATGTATTCATATTTTTTTATTCTCATATGAATATGCTTTGTTATATTCATATGTGAATAGAACATATATAAGTCATTATTGTTGTAGTCATATTTAAATAATGTATGTATGACAACAAGTTATGTTCTATTCATATGTGAATATAACATACATATTCACGAATGAATATTAGTTTCGCTTGTGTTCAGAAGTAAACAAAACATATTTTATTTACCTTTTTGATTTGCTCTTGTTTTTCGTTTATATGTTTTCTTCACTGTTGGTGTTGTTTCTGTAAGGTTAAGTAGTTAATATTAGGAAAACATAAGCGAAATGTAAAGTAACGTTTGTATTTTGACAGAATAGTTTTGAATAAAGATGAAAAATGAAGAGATGATGTAAAATCATTATCTATATCAACTAATAATGGATGATTCTTACAAAAATTTCAAGTAAATAAAGTAATAACGAAGGAGGTTACGAGAATGAACGAGTATCATAAAAATGAAGTAAACCCTTTTTGAAGAATGAACATTGTGAAAAAAATGTTTTTAGTTCTAAATCAACTAATAATTATCGAAGATTACGAGAAATTTCAAGTAATCAAGTGATAATTTTAGAAATGATTCGAAATCGTTAAAAACTCGAGAAAAAACGCCGATGGTTACCTTTCATTGTCAAGAGTAAGGAAATGGTCTCGTTCTTGTTTTCATCGGAAGACATTTTTCTTCGTTTGTTATTTGATGCTTCTGCAAATGGTTTTCTTCTTATCGATTCTTCTGCAAATGGTTTTCGTGTTATGGTGTATCGAAGAGGGAAATGGTGCTTTTCTGTCGAGATTTGACGTGTTATCAAATTACTCAAGTGCCCTGACGGTTTAATGTTTTTGGATTATTTACACATTTGCCAACGCTCATTAATGTATTTGGATTATTTACAAGTTTGCCACCGTGCGTTTTTTAAACTCATTAAATGATTGGCTGAGAATGGTTCCCCCATTCTCAACCTTTTTTTTTCTCAATTGAACCCTCTCTCTCTCTCTCTATATATATATATATATATAATATATATATATATATATATATATATATAATATATATTATATATATATATATCACCTAAATATGTGCTCAAAAGGCTTACTTCTTTCAATATTTCATATTCTTTTGAAATTTGCTTGCAGATTTAGCAATAAAGTTGGTCGAAGCTTATCCTGAATTTGTTGTAAAGAATGATAATGTACTGATGGCAATAGCTAGAACCTTTCCCAGCGGGCTAGACTATGGAGAAACACTTATATATCCCGGTAAGTTTCATTCTAATGTACCAGATATAGTTTCTTTTGTATTCTTTTTTCCCTTTTCTTGACTATCGCTTTTTCTCTTTCAGTTTTGGACAATATTTGTACAGAGATTGTGGAAAGAGCTAAGTGCCTGCTATTAATATTAGTAAGCCCATATTTCGTTTGCAAGCAAATCCTGGAGGACGAAAAAGTGATATATTTTTTTTTTCTACTGGTACTATTCATCATTTTAGGTGGTGAGCTGCTACTAACAAGTCCATACAACTCCAGAATTAAGCATATATTTGAACTCACAAAGTATACTGCATTTTTTTAAATAAACATTTTGTGTTTCTGCAGTTCCACTGCTCATGCTTATATGGATCTATGTGTTGATGCGCCTCCTCATATTGATTGTTTATTTCCCGTTCTCTATGTTTTATTTCAGCTTGTGGAAAGTTGCAGCAATATTCGGTAAGAGCATACAAAGTTAATCAACCCATTACTAATTAAGGTCGAGAGATATAATTTCTAATAGTATAAATTTAATGATTCTACTCCAACTGATTATTCTTGTAACTTGCATCAGTTGCACCAATTAAGCATATCGAGAAGAAAAAAGAAGGAATGGGAAAGAGCAAAAGAAGTTCTAAAACTGGTATGTGAAGCAATAGAAAACTCGAAGATCGCTAATGCTCATTCTCACTATTACACCGGACCCATTCTTGAGGCTGCTCGTCAAAATGCTTATGAGGTTGTTGATGAGATTTTATCGAGATCCCCTGAAGCAATTCGGTATAAAGATGAACAAGGGTATGACATTATACAGTTAGCAGTAATACATCGTTCAGAAAAGATTTACAACCTTATTTATCTCATGGAGGAGCGTAAGAGCATTTATGGAACACTCGAAGATTCATCAAAGAACAATATGTTGCACTTGGCTGGAAGATTAGCTCCTTCCCAGAAGCTCAAACGCAGTATAGGTGCAGCATTTCAACTACAAAGAGAGCTTCAATGGCGAAAGGTACTACATCGTAAATAAATTGTAAAGAATTAATATTTTCATTGTATACATAGTAGCATAATCGAGTTAAATTAATTCTGAATAGGAAGTCAAGAAACTCGTATTTCCAGCATACATTACCAAAGAGAACATTTTTAAGGAGACACCAGATATGGTGTTCACACGGGAACATGAGAATTTGGTGAAGGAAGGAGAGAAGTGGATGAAAGCTGTAGCAGAATCATGTAGCATCACCGCAGGACTAATTACCACAATAGTGTTTGCAGCAGCCATTACGGTGCCAGGTGGAATCAATCAAGAATCAGGCATCCCTTTATTTATAGATAACACTGTCTTCACCATCTTTGCTGTAGCAGATGCCATGTCACTATTTGCATCCAGTACAGCATTACTAATGTACTTGTCGATCCTCACCGGACGTTTTTCTGAGCAAGATTTCCTACACCGTTTGCCAAGAAGAATGATTATTGGTCTTGTTACCTTGCTCCTATCTACAACTGCAATGATGGTGGCCTTCGGCACAACATTGTACCTTGTCTTTTGTTATAAAAGACCATGGATGGTTGCTCCAATTTGTGTATTAGCTTTCCTCCCAATTGCAGCGTTTAGTACTCTTCAGATCCCCATTATAGTTGATCTATTTCGGTCGACATATGCACGCATCTTTGGCAAGCCAAGCAACAATAGCAGCATAGGATTTAATCCGAATGATATCCGGTTGTATTTTGGCAAGTGAAACTGAGCATGCATCTTGGAATTAAGCATTCTCTTTTACTTCCCAAAGGGTAAAACAATCATAACTTGACTATGTTGTTGTGTATGGCGAGATTTATGAATAGGATTCTAGTCTAATAGAAATCTTTCACACATTGCATGTCCTTTCAATTAGTGGTATTGATAGTTATAGTAACCCCTGTGAAAATCTTTAAGGATTGTCAATGAAAGGTAAAAACAATTGTTGGGAATCAGATAATTGGCTAAGTGTTGAAGTTGTAATATGGAGCATAATGCATGTCTTATTTGCAGGAGATTTATAGTGTAAGAATACTTAGAAAAGTTGGATTCATCGAGTTTTCGATGCTCCATATTCGTTGCAATTAGACATGACGTTTCATGTTCGATTTCTGCCAGGTGTTATTGGTTCTAACCAGCTATAAAAAATTCAGCCTACTTACCTAGCTGCATGAAAACCTCCATCAAACTGAAATTAAATCCATAATTGATTAGACCATATTTCTTTACACCATCCTTATACAGATTAATTATCATACAGTATTTCCATTGTCGACATTGATGGCTACTTTAAATATGAAGATCGATAACATAGTTAAGATCGATTGAATGTTTGAAGCTCCATCCCAAATTCATAATCACCAATTATGGATTCATTTGGTAACAAAATTGTTTATAGGAGAATAACTACATGTCTCCTTAGTTGAATGTAGGAGATGAACTATATTGTTTAGGAATCGATTAAGAATACAATAATCAGGTTTTGCTAATAGATTATGTAGAATATAAAACGACAAGATATCAAGTCGTGAATAACCATGTCGGAAGGAATGCAAATGAGTATTTTAGTAATTTAGTTAGTGAATAACCACAAGTAAAGAGTTCGATTGTCGGAAGGATTGCAAATGAGTATTTGGGTAATTTAGTTATAACCTAATTTAAAAAATATATATATTTGATTTTAAAAATAGATTAATTATGATTAAATTATATATTTCGGTATATATGTAAATTTTTTTGGCTTTATAAGGATATATATATATATATATATATATATATATATATGTACGTATATGTATATATGTTGGCGCATATTCCACTAAGGTTACCACGACGTGACAACATATGTGCCACGACGTGCCAAAGACAAATGAGCTAATCCCTAATTTTCGGACTTAAGGTCATATCTAAGAGAAGTGATGTGTAAGGTTTCCCTCACCCTCAACCTCCATCGCCTCCAAAGAATCCATGTGATATCCTAACCTCCTCCTTGCAAGTTTGAGCTCATTTTCATGATTTTGGTGTTCTTTGAGGGAAGAAGAAGAAGAATAAGTTTTTAGTGTAAGGGTCAAGCAAGAAACTCCATATTACCATTGGGATCACCATCCGAACCTTTGTAAGTTCCCTTTTTCAGATCTTGTTGGTTGGTTTCTTCGAGATCTAGTTTTACTGGCTTACCCTTCATGTTCTTGATGTTTAACAACAAGGAACGATGTCTATACAGATGACATTTTCAACCCCTGTTGTAACACCCCGTTTTGAAAAGTACTTCGGTTGTGGTTTCGAAGGCTCAGGGTATAACTGATTCGGTCTTTTATGGGTCTCAGGTTTTATTCTAAATGTTTTAAGGCTTGGGTGTGTAGTTAGGAGCGTAGGGCTGCTCGCCACCTTTTCGTGGGTATAAAGTTCGTCGGAAACAAGCTTAGAATAAAGGAATTATAGCACTTTGAAGTTATTGGCAATATTGGTCCTTAATGGAGAAAGATGGCAAGAATGGACCATGCATGCAAGGTGGTCAGCGCAAGAGTACGTCCAACGTAAGTTGGGGTACGACCAGCATAGAAGGGTTAAGTGATCGCGGGTGCGGAGGGGCGTACGCCCGGCGTACGAGAAGTACGCACAGCGTACGCTCAGAGTCCCCAAACTCTAATTTTTAGGGTATGCCACTATATAAAGAACATTATACTCTCAAGGACCAGCCTCCTTCTCATCTTTAGACAGCCTCCTCGAAACCCTAACCCTCCCTTGAGTGTTCTTGGAGCTTTGAAGGTCATTAGAGAACATTTTGGTGATTATGAAGCCATTTTCAAGCAAGTGAAGAGTATAGCAAGGTGGTAGATCAAAGGGGAAGTGGTAGATCCGAATTTGGGGTTCTATTTCAGATCACTTGGAGGTATAAAGTTTATAACGTTACCTAAGAGTGCTTAGATATAGTGTGGTTTAGTTTTGAAGTCATTTTGGTCCAAAGTTTGAAGCTTTATAGTCCAAATCTGATTTGTAGGCTAAGGGTTGCCACCCTTGGTGCTAAATGTCTCCCTAGGACAGAAAGTTGTCATCTTGGTGGTCTTAATGGGTTCATGCAAGAGTTGAGACCACTTTCATGGAAGTAGAATATCATTTTTTGGATTTTGGACTTGTTTGGGTTATGCAAAGTCACAAAGTCACAAAGTCAGTGACTTTATGGATTAACTCGTTGAAAAGGACTTGGATCTATGATTGTAGCTTCTGGATTTGAGTATTAAACACTTTATGGGAAAATGACTTAACAGGGGAGTACGCTGAGCGTACATGCAGGTAAGCCCAGCGTACGCACCATTTGGCTAGTACGCTTAGCGTACATAGGAGTACGCCCAACGTACTCAGTAGACATGGGTTTGGCTTGTTTTGGGCCTCAGTTTGGGCTATGCAAAGGATTTTGGTTCTTTGGGCCTTAGTGGGCCATCATAAGTCAGATAATGTGGGCCAAAAAGATGTTTGGGCTTTGGGTAAGGCCCATTAAATGGTTTGGGCCCAATTTAGCAAATTGGGCCATTAGTGGGCCACTAGTGGGCTTGGGAAGCCTACCTAGTGTTGGGCCATTTTTAGAACTTGGTTTGAGCCTTAGATATGGACCAAGTTGGACTAGGGGTAAAATGATCATTTTGTCCTAACGATGATTATTGATTTGGACTAAGTGATATTTTGGTATTGATAGCTCGGGGAGTCGAGGGATTAGCAGTTCGGGGATCTGCCAGCTAGCAGCGAGGGGTTATTCGCAGGATTCTATAGTCAGCTTGCGAGGCGAGTTTTCTCCAGTAGGAACGGGTCTAAGGCACCAATGCCAGCCCGTTTATGTATGTTAGTGTATACCGGATTTAGATCTAATGTCGGGGTTAGCCCGATGTAGTTTATATGTTTTGGATTTCGGTCCGATGCCGGGTGGTACCCGAGGCAGTAGTGTATGTTTAGTAATACTTGCTGTCTTTTTGATACTTGTATGTGCCTGGTAGAGAGATGAGTGTGGGCGGGGGACCATATCTCATCACTAGTTGAGTGTGGACGAGGTTCCATATCTCAATAGTAGCAGAGTAGGGGCGCGGCCCAAGATAGGCAGGCCCTTGAGACTAGCAGTTATAGTATATCGATTGTTCGTTATGTATTAGTTTGATTATATGTTATTATCTTATGTCTGAAGCGGGCGGGGCCCGGAGACAGGAGGGACCTAGTAGAAACAGATATGTATACGGAGCGGGGCTCGATGCCAGGCGGGGCCTGATGCCAGATTCGTCCAATGTCGGGCGGGGCCCGATGGGCCGATGTGGCGGGCTAGGCCCAATGTTTGCAGTACGTGATTATGTGTATGGTATGTGGTAGTATGGGGAACTCACTAAGCTTCGTGCTTACAGTTTTCAGTTTTGGTTTCAGGTACTTCTGGTAGCGGAGGGAGGAGCTCGGGATGACTACATGGCACACACCAAGAAGTTTTAGCCTGGGATGTTTACTCTGATTAAAAGATTATGTTTTGAGATGATACTCTGATTTGATATAACGATTTTGTTTATGAATGAAATGTTTGATAATTATGGTTTTTATTAATGATTTAAAACGAAATTTCGGACCGTATTTTTGGGATGTTTCAGCTATGCCGACGACATGTCTTCGGGACAACCTATACCGACGAAATGTCGTCGGTATAGAGCTGTCACACGGATCACCATTTTTTATCGCAACGACATGTCGTCGGGATAGCTCTCCACCAAACGATATCATTATTAGTTCTTGCACCAAGGAAAATAAATAAATCAAAATCAAAAAATTCGTAACATATACCGACGACATGTCGTCGGGATAGCTCTCCACCAAATGACATCGTTAGTAATTCTTGCACCAAGGAAAATAAATAAATCAAAATTTAAAAATTCATAACCTACACCGACGACATGTCGTCGGCATAGGTTTTCAGTCTACCGCCAAAATGTTTTTCATTCCCGCTGCACCTATGGAGACGACAAGTCGTTGGAATATAGTCCCAGGTCAATGCTATTTGGTCAAAGTAAACATAACACTATACCGACGAGATGTCGTCGGCCCAACAAAATTTTTACCGACGACAACTGTCGTTGGAATAGATGTCGTCAGGACAGATGTTTATTCTTTAGTGTTTGGAGTGGATGGATTCAATAATGTTTGCAAATTTATTGATCATTGGGATCCCAAGGTGGTTTGATGCTCCAGATCTGATGAATTTAACAACTTTGAGTCCATGCATGGAGTTTAACCCTATTTATAACCATTTTTGACATAGTTGGATGAAGTACATACATGTCCATAAATTTTGGATTTTTATAGGCCATTTTGGGAGCAACAATCGTCATCTGTGTGATTGTAATTGTATGCATTTGTATAAGTAGATTCAAATGTTTGTGTCTATATTAATATCTCAATGGACTTTTGTTGGATCAGTTCTATAAGATTATAACCATACTGTCCAGCTAAAGCTTAGACAACATATTCCAAGCTAGTTATCAGATTTAAGGATCATACAGGATTTACTATGGTGCCCGTAGCACCGGCAACACCTATTTTTTCAGACGCAGTGCGAAAAATTTCAAATTTTTTTTTCTAATATCTAGACACTAATAAAATTTGTCTGCTCCAGATAAATGCATACGTTTATAAACCTTTGTGAAGATGAATACAAAAGTTTGCTATCGTTACACACTGATTTCCTCATTTAATCACAATCTCAGAAGGATGTGCAGATTCAGCTCGAACGAAACTAGAAGCAAGTAAAGACAAAGATGCAGTTCCCAAAGAAAAAGAAGCAGAAGGCATAGATGTGGTTTCAGAAGAAAAGCAAACTGAAGACAAGGATGAGGTTCCAACAAAAACAGTAACAAAAGAAACAGAAACTCAAGACGACGTGGTTCCAGTTGAGGAAAATGGAAATGGCCAAGAGAGAATTCCAACAATAACAAATATAAAAGGTGAAGGAACAGAAACCAAAGGTGATGAAAAGATCAAGAAGCAGTTATGCGAAGTTATTATGGACGGGAGTGTGTGGGATCTGCACGTAATACTATTTGGCAATAAACACGTACTAACACAAGAAATCAACAGTGATGGTAACATGCCACTTCATATAGCTGTCGGAATAGGTAAGAACCGTATGGTCAGTGAAATGTTACGGTTAATCAAAGTTGAACATTTACTTGAAATGAAAAATAAGAATGGAAGCACAGCCCTTCACATTGCTGCAATAGTCGGCAACACAGAAGCAGCAAAGTTCTTGATTATAAGAAACAGAGAGTTGTTGGTAACAGAAGACAATAAATGTGAAACACCTTTGGATAAAGCTTTTGACAATATGCATCTCGATACCGTTGAATATTTGTTGAAAGCCACCAAGGGGAATGGGAAACCGGAGAAAATACTTCTTTAGATGATTTTGTTAACCCTGGAGTAAAAATAGGCGTCGAACTTCTTGTTAATGCTGTTTCTTCAAAGCAGTATGGTGCGTTAGCCAATATATATATATATATATATATATAGATATATATATATATATATATATATATATATATATATATATATATATATATATATATATATATATATATAGGTAAGTTCAATTGAGAAAATAAAAAAGTTGAGAATGGGGGAAACATTCTCAGCCAATCATTTATCTAACATGTTCAAATTAAAAAAAATGCGCGTGTCCATTTTCATTAAGGGTATCTTTGTAAATTAACAACTTTTTTACATAGAACTTACTGTTCGTTGTTATCAGTTTCCAATTTGATGATATCTTTAGCTCGTTTGAATCGGATATGAGGAATTCATTATCAAGATTATTTTCTTTATATAGCTCGTTAGCAATTATACGTATTCATTCCATTAATCGTGAAGTTTCGCATCTGTGTTTCAGTTTTCTACTTCGTATTCAGTTTCCGATTTGATCAGGTATGTATATCGTTTGAATCGGATAGATCGGAGTTCATTATCAAGATTATTGCTTTTTATAATTTGTTTGGAATTACGCTTATTATCTTCGTTTTGGAGTTGTTTCATCGGAGTTCATTATCAAGATTATCAAGTTTCGAATATGTATTTGAGTTATTTCATCGGATTTTTGTTAAGTAGTTTGAGATATTTATTTCCAATCGGAGTTGATTTAATTTTTAATCGGATATATCGTTGTAGTTTTTACGCTCTGTACTGAGAGAGATTGCTTAATTACATCATCTGATCATATATGATTTAAGTTTCTTTCAGATATTCTGTACGTTGAGGTGAGATATATTCGAAATTAACCAGGTTTTCATCTTTACGACTTTTTTTGTGAGATATATTCGATATTAAGATTGTTTTTGTTTATTTATATAGATCATTTGGTGTATTATGTCGAATTCTAGTGTTATTGATGGTTGATTTGTATTCTTCTATGAGCGAGAGTGAATAAGAAGATGTTGAGAACTCATATTTTGAACGTATCAGTTATTGAATTATTTTGTTGTTTTTAATTTTGTTGATTATCATTTATTTACATATGAATATGTTAATATGAATAAATTGTTGTCTTATTCATATATGAATAAACGTGTGATAATTGTAATTTCGAATTTATTATTTTTTTCGTTTTATTCATATATGAATAAGTTATGTTTTATTTTATATATTTTGAATCCTCATGAATTTTATGTATTCATATATGAATGTTGTATTCATATATGAATGTTTTTTGTTTTATTTATATGAGTTTCATGTATTCATATATATTATTGTTTTATTCATGCATTATTATTTTAGGTGGTGAATCTTCAAGTTCAATACATGATGCGTAATATTGTGATGATATAATTGGAGAACATGTCTATAAGCCAGATGTACCTGTTCAACTTATTCCATTTAAGGGTTTAATCTTCAAATCATTAAAGTTGGCTATCAAAATGTATTCTAAGTATGCTGAAATTGGTGGTTTTGATGTTAGACTGAGCACACAGTCCAGGTTTGATAACAAGATTATAAAGAAGAAACATGTTATATGTAATCGTGGTGGTAAACAGAAAAAGAAATCTTGTGACATATTAGGTACAAGTGGTGTTAGGAGGAAACGAAATTCAAATTCAAGAGCTATTGGTTGTCAAGCAAAGATTATATTTGAATCTGTGTATGGAACTCCAGATTATAAAGTTTTTCAGTTTGATGAACTTCACAACCATCCACTTGAGAAGAGAAGCGATTTAAAAAAAGTGAGACAAATGTCATATTCAGAAAAAGAGTTTATTGTGCGTGCTTCCACATCAAAAATAGGTCCAACTATGGCTCATAAGTTGAGGGCACGTTTGAGAGGTGGGTATGAGTTTGTAAAGCCCAAAGTAGTTGACTATAAAAATTTAAGGAGAGATATCAACAGGGTTATAGGTTATAAAGATGCCCAAATGATAGTAAACACAATGAATGACCGTCGAGCTCACTATCTAAATTACTCATTTGAGTTTAATTGTCAAGATGATGTTTTGGACTGTATGTTTTGGGCTGATGAAATGGAGAAGGCATATTATGCTGAATTTGGTGATGTTATCTCGTTTGATGCGACTTTTTTTTAACAAACAAGTAAGTTATTTTATCTACTTTTGTTTATAGCTTATTCATATATATGAATATTTTTATATTCACTTATTAATACATCAAAAATTGACTTTAATGAACAATTTTTTTGTGTGTTAGGTATCGAATGGTTTTTGTTCCTTTTACTACTATTGACCATCATAAAAAATCGGTTAGTGTTGGATCTGGGTTGCTAAGCAATGAAAGCATTGAGTCTTACTCTTGGTTGCTTAAAGCATTTCTTAAAACTCATGGGAAAGAACCAACACTTGTTTTAACCGATCAAGATGCTGCAATAAAACAAGCTGTTGAGAATGTGTTTCGTAATTCAAAGCACCGATTATGTATGTGGCATATAATGAAAAAGTTGAAAAAAAGGTATTATTTTAATATATTTCAAATATATTACTTATTAGTATATTCATTTATGAATATTGATTGTTATTTTACTTATTATTATTGATTCATTTATGAATATTTTTGTTTTAATACAGATATCAGATGATTTATTTACGAACGCATACTTTAGAAAAAGGTTTTCGAAGCTTGTTTGGGACATTAATATGAAACCTGATGTTTTTGAGGTGAAGTGGGGTTTGCTTATGAAGGAATTCAATCTTGAAGACACAAGATGGTTTAAAGACATGTTTACAATACATGATTCATGGATACCTGGATATTTTAGTGATATTCCAATGTGTGGTTTGATGAAGACTACATCGAGGTCAGAGAGTATGAATTCATTCTTTAATACATACTCAGAAAGTGGGAACTTACTTTTGAATTTCATGATGAATTACGACACTGTCATTCAAAAGCAAAGGAATACTCAACGAGAGCTTGATAAGGCATCAAAGAAAGCATCATATAAAATGCAAACACCTCGAGAAATAGAACTGCAAGCATCAAAGGTTTATACAAGTATATTATTTTTTGAGGTGCAAAAAGAAATATATAAAGCATGTTTTTTCTGTACATACTCATATGTTGGTATTGAAGATGGTTGGGAAGTGTACATTGTGCAGCACAACAACAGTAAAAGTGATTTTAAAAATGAATTTAAGGTAATTTTACTAGTTTTTTTTTATGAAAAATGTAATAATATTCATATATAAATATGAGAATATTCATATATGAATATCAATATTCATATATGAATACGAGTAAATTACTGAAATCGTCCCTGTGGTTTGGTCAAAAATTGCACGTTTGGTCCCTAACTTTTTTTTTGCACTCGGGTCGTCCCTGTGGTTTGATTTTGTTGTGTTTTTCGTCCCTATGGTTTGGTAAAAGTTGCATGTTTGGTCCCTAACTTTATGTATGTAAGGGACGAAAAATGCAACAAAATCAAACCACAGGGACGAAAAATGCAACAAAATCAAACCACAGGGACGATCCGAGTGCAAAAAAAAAGTTAAGGACCAAACGTACAATTTTGACCAAACCACAGGGACGATTTCAGTAATTTACTCTATGAATATCAATATTCATATATGAATATATGAATATTATATGAATATATGAGTGTTGATATGAGTATTCTTATATGAATGTAAATGTGTAAATTTTGTTTTTGTATCAGGTTGAAATAAAAGCTGAAGAGAAAGAAATAAATTGCAATTGTGAACATTTTAAGCGTATGAGTGTTTTATGCAGACATGCTTTTACAATAATGATGAGATGTGGTGTTAAAGAAATTCCTGAAAGGTACATTTTGAAGAGATGGAGAAAGGATGTGATATCAAGAAATTATCGTTTTAGTTCTGTTTAATCCGTTTCAGGTGATTGTGAGAATGTAAAGCTAGTCAATGATTCATATTATAGTTTTGAATCATGTTTGGATATTGTAAGAGATGACAAAAAGAGATTGCCTTTGTTTGCTGAGAAAACAACAAATGTTGTTGAAGGAATCTGAGAGTGATTATATTTCTCCTGGATTGAAAAGCAAGACAGATGGTGAAGTCGTATGCAAGCTTTTGGGTGTTACTATTCCTATTCCAGAAGAGATTAATATTCATGTTCCTGAAGTTCAAAGCAATAAAGGTTCTGGAATCAAGAAAAGAATTCCAAGTGCATGTGAAGTAGCATATGAAAATTCTAAAAAAGTACATAGAATGTGTTCAGGATGTGGAAAACGAGTTCCACACAATTTACGTACTTGTCCAGAAAGAGTTGGAGCCGTTAAATCAGCAAAAGACAGTTAGGGATTTTTTAGTTTTTTTTAGTTTTTTTTTTTTTTTTTTTTTTTTTTTTTTTTTTATGTTTTTTGGTTTTATTCATTTATGAGTATATGCAGATAAAAACAATAAACAATAATATTCATGTATGAATAATACACATTTATATTGATATGGTAAATTGATATGTTGATATTTGTTTTGTAAATTACTATAAAATAAGTTATATTGATATTGTAAATTATTTATAAATGAATACAAATATGTGAAATTTGTTATACTAATAAATAAGTAATATTCATATCTGAACTTTTTTATGTTAATATCTGAACTTTGTTATACTAACATATTACTTTGAACTTATTCATAAATGAATATATCATATTCGTATTCATTTATTAATAAATAAAAATAAAGTTTGAAAATATTTGAATATAAAAAAATGACATAAATAAGCAAACTTGTTTCTACTAATAAGTTAGTTATTTTCATATTTGAAATTTGTTATATTCATATATGAACTTTGTTATACTGACATATTACTCCTAATTTAATCATAAATGAATATATCATATTCGTATTCATTTATGAATAAACATAAATAAACTTTGAAAATATTTAAATATAAAAAACTGACAGGAATAAGCGAAGTTGT